TTAATAATTTCATTTACACAAAAAATTATTTGTTTTTTTGATATTTTATAAAATAATATTTAGAATTTAAATTTAACAATATTAACCAAAGAAAATAATAAATATGTAATATAAATGTTTATTGTTTTTAATTTAATAATAATATATATCGTAACGTAAAAAATAAATCATTAGACGCCTATAATTACTAAATTAATATCTTAAAACTCACTCAAAAGATAACCTTAAATTAATGTTTTCCACAATGAAAAAAGTATGGACACTTTTATAAAAAGGATAGACACTTTACAACTACCTATTACATTATATAAACGATACCTATTACATTATATAAGCGCTACCTATTACATCATATTTTTACCTATTATATTGAAAGTGTCCATACTTTTTATAAAAAGGATCGACACTTTTTTTTAAAGTTATGTAATTTATGTTTCAATTTTTTTTAATAGTGTTTTATGTTTTCCACCTACAATATTAATTTAATAATTTCATTTACACAAAAATTATTTGATTGTTTTGATATTTTATAAAATAATATTTAGAATTTAAATTTAACAATATTAACCAAAGATAATAATAAATATGTAATATATGTTTATTGTTTTTAATTTAATAATAATATATATCGTAATGTAAAAAATAAATCATTAGACGCCTATAATTACTAAATTAATATCTTAAAACTCACTCAAAAGATAACCTTAAATTAATGTTTTCCACAGTGAAAAAAATATGGACACTTTTATAAAAAGGATAGATACTTTACAACTACCTATTAGATTATATAAATGATACCTATTACATTATATAAGCGCTACCTATTACATCATATTTTTACCTATTATATTGAAAGTGTCCATACTTTTATAAAAAGGATCGATACTTTTTTTAAAGTTATGTAATTTATGTTTCAATTTTTTTAATAGTGTTTCATGTTTTCCACCTACAATATTAATTTAATAATTTCATTTACACAAAAAATTATTTGATTATTTGATATTTTATAAAATATTATTTAGAATTTAAATTTAACAATATTAACCAAATATAATAATAAATATGTTTTCCACAGTGAAATAAGTATGGACACTTTTATAAAAATGATATATACTTTTTTTAAAGTTATGTAATTTATGTTTCAAATTTTTAATAGTGTTTCATGTTTTCCACCTACAATATTAATTTAATAATTTCATTTACACAAAAAATTATTTGATTTTTGATATTTTATAAAATATTATTTAGAATTTAAATTTAACAATATTAACCAAAGATAATAATAAATATGTTTTCCACAGTGAAATAAGTATAAACACTTTTATAAAAATGATATATACTTTTTTTAAAGTTATGTAATTTATGTTTCAATTTTTTTAATAGTGTTTCATGTTTTCCACCTACAATATTAATTTAATAATTTCATTTACACACAAAATTATTTGATTGTTTTGATATTTTATAAAATATTATTTAGAATTTAAATTTAACAATATTAACCAAAGATAATAATAAATATATTTCACAGTGAAATAAGTATGGACACTTTTATAAAAAGGATAGATACTTTACAATATAACAAGTAAAAATATGACAAAACCAGATTCATTATGATAAAACCGGTAAAATTTACTTGATATGTTAAAAGTATGGACACTTTTATAAAAAGGATAGATACTTACCAATAACCAAAGTTTACCGGTTACCAAATTTTTTAATAGTTTTTCATATTTTCTACCTAAAACATTATTAGTTGTCAACATAATAGGTACCGCTAAACCAAATTTATTAAATACATTTTAATGTATCCGGTACTGCCGTATATTAGCCGTGTATTAACCCGCCTTTCGTGAGACAATCCCAGAACAAGATGGGGCTATTGGGTGGGAGCCATCATTCATCGCCATTAATCAACAGAACGTAAGTATACATTCATTTAAGGGTAGATTACATCGTTCCTTATAGAAATTTTCTCTTCCTCATATTTTACTAATCGTATTTTTAATTTTATTAATTTGTTCATTGAGTTTTATATATTAAATAATTTTTTTTCACTTTATTTTTAGTTATTTAACGATATTATGACATGACACAAGCATCAAAACGACGTTGTTCTGAAAAACTCAAATATACACAAAAACGGTGTCGTTTGAATCCTCTTCTTTCCCCCACTATCAATCGTCATAGACAGTGGTTGTTTGATCTCAAAATTTATGGGTCAATTCGTCTCGACCCCCTGAGTTCGAATCTGATGGTTGTTTCACTAGAAAATGTCCCAAAATCTGTTTCTGACTGAAATGTTTCGACTTCTTCACTTTCAATCTCCAATTCGTGGACTTCGAAGCAAGTTCTGACATAATGGATGCCAGATTCATACTCAAGGTGTTAAGCCGAAGCGACCTATGAAATTTGAGATCGAACGATCACCGTTTACGGAGGTGATATCCAACCTCATTATGATTTTATTTTATAGTTGAGTGAACAAAATATGAGAGAGTAAAATTCAGTGAGGAACGGTATAATTTACCCTTTATATTTTTATGTATTTTATATTAAATAATAATAAAAATGACTATGGATATTCAAAATACATGAACCCAACGGATCCCGACTAAATAAGGGCGATTTTTGTTTTGAATTTTTGAGGCTCGGGGCGGGGTGGGACGGGGTCGGGTTTAAGGTGAGAAATAATCGACACGATTCGACTCGATTATTATATATATATATATATATTAATTAATATTTTTATATTATTAAATATTATTTAATCATTAAAAATATAAAATATATTAATTTAATATTTTAAATATAATAAATATATTATTATAAAATATATTATTTTAATTATTTTAAAATATTAATATATTTGGATCGGGTCGGGTTGAAGTTTTAGACTAAAAATTGAGGTGGGTTCGAGGGTGGGAAAAAACTCAAAATTCTTCGAGACGGAGTTGAGTTTTACATATATATTTTCGGGTCGGAGTTGGGGCGACCAAAAATCCACCCCACCTCTCCCCGTGCCCATCCCTAAAAATGACACGTCATTACAACGTTAGAGAGATAACAACAGAGTGAGCAAAATGATTCAATATGTAAAGTTCGGTGAGCAAATTAGAAAAATTAAAAGTACGGTGAGTAAAACATGATAGAGTAAAGTTTAGTAGGACGATTGCATAAATATATAAAGGTTTAACTACATGGATGATCACTTATATTTGTGTTTTGTCTACTTTTGGTTATTGGTTTTAAAAAACATAAGATGTGCTCAATTTCATTTTTATTTAATTAATATATAATCACTTTAGCTTTTATGTTTTTATTTAATTAAGATATAGTCACTCCAAGTTAACTGTTATTCACAATAGTTAAATATTTTGATATAATCACACATTTGGTCCCTGTTATTTACATATTCTCTCAATTTAGTCATACTTTTAAATAAATTTTAACATGAAATATATATTTTTAAATTAAGTTAATAATGGAATATATTTAATAAGTTAATATAAAAATATTTTTAAGTTAATATATATTATATATATATATATATATTATAATCTGTGTCACGGGTACCCAATTTATAATTTTTTATATTTTCATTAAATTATATTATTTTTTAAAAAATATAAAATATATATAATCCACCTATAAAGTTTAAAAATTGAAATAAAATTTATTAAAAATTAAAAATAAAGAAATATAATCAAATTTCAATTATTTTGAAGTTAAAATAAGAATTTTTAAAAAATAATTTAGAACATTAATGGGAATAATTTAAGAAATTATATATATGGGATCGAGCACAAGGTTCTTAACCTTGAGGTCGTGGGATCGAGTCCCACGGAGGACATTTCATAATTCGGAGGTCTCTTACGGAAGCTGCTCTCAACCTGGTGTTGAGGGTAACCTACTATCTTACCTCCCCTTACCCTATATATATATATATATATATGGGAAAAAGGACAGCCATTTTTTATTTTTTTCTGTGGAGCGTCTGGAAGTAAAGGTGCAACCTTGTCTTCAAGGGAGAGGTTTGGTCTACCTCAACAATCATACAGTCTGCACGTTTATAGGTCCAATCCGTCTGGACAAGAACAAGGACATGCCATACGCCTAGGGAGCAACCTTTGATACCTCCCAAGCTAGGAGTTGTCAAGCTCAACAAGGTCGGTGTCGTCAACCAGTCAACGATGGAGGCAATGGACGACGGTGTTATCCGGGACTTTAAAGGCGTTTGGCTTTCAATCTTTTCTCGTAGTATCGGTCGATGTTTATCCCTCATGCTGAGCTTTGGGTTCTTCTAGACGGTTTGAACATCGCTTGGATTAGAGGTTACAGACGAATAAAGGTCAAAATGGATTGTCATGAAGCAGTCAAGATCCCTTCCTCTTTAGAGGCGACCTTTGAATTGGCCATTGTCCGCAGAATTTGGGGTCACTTCCACCGGCAGTGAAACATTAGAATCGCTCACATCAGTAGCGAGGCTAACCGTGTGGCCGATGCGTTTGCCCGACTTGGCCATTTTGGAGTGTACTGTGCTTTATGAATTGAGCTTCCCGCCTACTGAAATTCAACGTCTCCTCCAACTGAACATGGACCTGTGGAGAAGAACTCATTCGCTGCTAGTGTAGCCGTTTTTTGTAACAAAAAAAAGAGAGCCCGATCCAAGCTCGTTTTGACTTTTCAACCGGTTTGCTTGCCGAAACGTATAACTCTGCTTCATCGCTGAGTTGGAAATTTTGATATGTTAGGGTACGATGTCGAGTTCCACTTACATTAATAACCTAAAATTAGGTCAACGGACAACCTAAAATAAACAATTAATTTGGAAGATCATTGCTTAAGCTTCACCAATTATATTATGCCTTAAAACTGAAAGATTTAGGCTTTACAATAACTTGCATGAATAAGATTTCCAGATGTTAATTAAGAACTACATTTGTTTTTTTTAAAAAAAAGAGAAACAAATGAAATGAACATAGAGCGATACCCAAAGGCCCAACGTATTATCATGTCAGCGGCTATATACGTAAACTGAAAGCCCAAATTTCTCTCCAGAATTCGAACATCTCCTGATCTCATTCAAGAATTTCGTCGAACATGTGTGTCGTCCTCCTCAACAACAACGTGAACGTGTCAGTGTAAACGAATCGAAAACTCGAACGGCAGCCACGTGTCGATCATCCTACTCTCCCATGCCGAACAACTCTAAACCCCTTGGCATTTCTTCGAACTTTAAACCCTCCCAGAAAACAATCCAAATCTCCAGTCCAAAACGACGCTAAAATGTACCGTTTCAGACCCTCGCTTCTCCTTCATCATCGTTGCCTTCACAACCTCCAAAACGCCGGCCCGCTGTGCTCCCAATTAAAATCCCGGTCCGTAATCCGGTTCTCTGGATCCGACACCATCAAATTCCTTCAGGGTCTTTTATCAAACGATGTACGGAGGCTTGGTGAACCCCCACGCGAAGGGAACTCCCCCATTCCTACACCGAACGTGGCCTCTGTGGTGGTTCCTCCTATGTATGCAGCTCTTTTGACGCCTCAAGGGAGGTTTTTGTATGACTTGTTCTTGTATAGGCCGCCCCGGCCTGAGGAGAAGCTGGACAGAACTGGGTCCGGTCCAGGTAGTGGGGCTGGTGAGTCGGTGGAGATTTTGGCTGACGTTGATAGCTCGGTCTTGGATGAGTTGTTGGCAACTCTTGAGAAGTGGGTGTATTTAGTTTAATTATTCTCTGAAATGATGTTTTCCTTTTGTTATATTGCTTTTGGAAGAATGATTTTCTGTTCTATATATCTTCTGCATTTGGTTTACGTAGAATCTCTCATTCTCAGGTTAAATTTCATGGTCGAAATTTTCTTCTGTTGTTTGGTTTTAGATAGAGAAGGTTTCTTTTGTGATTCAGAATTCTGGATGGTCATTTAATGCCATGTGTAAATTTGCTCGTGACATTAGAAATTCTGTTTGAGAATATGCTTGAAACACTTGTGGTCAGTCGTATATCAGATAACTTATTAGTCTTCACGTCTTTGCATTTCTTCAGAGCTTTGTTATTTGTTAAATCCATAATCTGTATGAATTCTATGGTGTTGCTGTTTATTTCAAAAATGGTTTGTTGAAGAGATATCTGAAAATGTTCTTGTTTCTTTTCTACATTTGACTATAGTAAATTGATGATTGTCTATATTAGTAATGCTAAATTTAGAATTACACTTAAGGGTTGTCTTGGTGTATGCTGCATTTGATGCTGCAGATACCGGTTGAGGTCTAAGGTAGATATCGAGAATGTGGCGGATGACTTCCTTTGCTGGCAGAGATACAGTGGTGACCTTCCCGGAAAGACCCCTGCTGTTGAAGAACCAGAGGCAGCTTCAGTTGGTTGGGGCAGCGGTGTCGATAGTTCTAGCAAGTCAGCTTCACATGGCAGTGATGTTGGATGCCAATGGTTTAAAGATCCCAGAATAGATGGTCTAGGTTTTAGGGGGATATTTCGATCCGGTACAATACGTGAGTTCACAAATCTTTTGTTGCTACTGAAATTTATTCTTGTCTACATTAACACAAGAAATGGCTTCGAAATAATAATTGATTAGGATCTTATTGTTTGATTGTTTCTTAAGAAACCATGCAACTCACCTATTGCTTAAACAAATTCTTATCCTTTTCTTTGTTGCAGCACCTTTTGTCGAGTCTGATAAAGAAGATGAAGAGAATTACCTTATGTGGAGATTAGAGAAGGGAGTTGCTGAAGGCTCGACTGAAATTCCTAAAGGTGTTTTTTTTTGCTTTGTTCCCAATATTGTACTTAAGTTTCTTGAATTATGTTATAGGATGTTTCACTTTCGTTTTCAAAGTCTTAACCGATTGGGTCCGGTCTCAGTTGCGATATTGTTATTGTGTTTTTAGGGGAAGCAATTCCACTTGAATACAATTTCGCTGGTCTCAACGCAATCAGCTTTGATAAAGGGTGCTACGTAGGGCAAGAACTTATAACTCGTACACACCACAGGGGGGTTATTCGCAAGAGATTGCTTCCTTTAAAGTTTCTCGATGATAACGGAAAAGGTACACTCCGTCCATTGGACTTCCATAATTTCAGTCATCTTCGCAACAACACATCTTGACCCCTTTTATTATTTCAGAGGTTGAGGGAAAAGTTACCCCTGGTTCAGAAGTGATCAGCACAGTTTCTAATAAGAAGCTAGGGAGTGTGACAACTGCACTCGGCTTTCGTGGGATGGGTGTCTTGAGGCTCGACGATGCCTTCAAAGATACATTGGCGATATGGGGGCAGGAGGATATAAGGGTTATGGCTATTAAACCAGATTGGTGGCCTGCAGAATGGTTTCAAGATCAACAACATACCGATACTGCCAACGCATAAACTGGTTTACGTGAATTTGATCGTCTTTCTTGCCATCGTTCGGCTTGGGCGGCTCACACGGTTATAAGCAATGGTACGACTTGGTAGAACTTATTTTACAACAGGTTTACTTTTTTCCCTCTCACTAAAGAAAATGAAAGTAATAAGGAGGTGTTGTTAAACTTAATGTAAGACTAGCTTGGCTGCTGTTGTAACCTTTTTTTACTATTAGAATATTATTATATTTATTTTATTTTTAATATTAAAATAATTTTTTTTTATAAATTTTGGAGCGAAATAATCATTTCTTGTTAAACTGAAGTTTGTTTTTTTTTCTTTTTGAGATTATTAATGATAAAAAATGTAATGAGATCATGTTCATGTGTGGACCTGCGGATCCATTTCCAAATTCCAATGATCCACCACACATAGAATAATGGATGGGACAGATATCACTCTCGGTATGAGCTCCAAAAACGACATCGCTTCGTGTATACGGTACACCATTTAACCATCACATCCTCAGTCCTCTCATTTCTGGTTTCTACTCAAAAAAAAAAAAAACATTTCCCGTCATTTCTTCGATTTTCTTTCCTCCGTCGAATTCAGACCGTATACAAAATCAAAATGGGCAAGGATCTGAGCGACGAGCAAGTCTCTTCAATGAAGGAGGCTTTCACTCTCTTCGACAACGACGGCGACGGCAAGATCGCTCCATCGGAGCTGGGGATCCTTATGAGGTCTCTCGGCGGCAACCCAACCCAAGCCCAGCTCAAAGCTATCGTCGCTGAAGAGAAGCTCACGGCGCCCTTTGACTTTGCTCGCTTTCTAGATCTCATGTCTAAGCACATGAAACCTGAGCCCTTCGATAAGCAGCTACGCGATGCCTTCAAGGTTCTTGATAAGGACTCCACCGGCTTTGTCGCCGTCGCTGATCTGAGACATATTTTGACTAGCATCGGAGAAAAGCTGGAGCCCTCCGAGTTCGATGAGTGGATCAGGGAAGTCGATGTCGGGTCGGATGGGAAGATCCGTTACGAGGATTTTATTGCCAGGATGGTTGCCAAGTGAGAGACGCCGTCATTAACTGTTTGTTTGCTTTTCGTTGGATGATTTTTTCTCGGAAGCTAGGGTTTGACGCGTTTTTCAAAAAAAAATTCTCTGCTTGTTTCTATGGAAGCTTTGGAAGTAATGGTAACACTATTTTTTTTTTTAGAATTTGTTTGGTGCGTGTGGTACTTACGTACTGTTATACTAATATTCTCGTGTTTGGTTTAATTTTGTATTTATAAATTTCTATATTTTCCACCATGCTCTTGATCAACAAATTTATGGTTGGCCCTTTCGATTAGTTATGCCAAAATTATGTCTTTTAAATGTCTCAACATTCTGAGATAAATTTCTGTACGCAGAACTTTTTGCATTCTCATTCTCATTCTCATTCTCAGTTGTGTTGTATAATTTTAGATTTACTAATCTTGGTTGGTGAAATTAGCGAAGAGGTGATTATATTATCAGGATATCGTGGAAAATGCCTTCTGAGAATCTCAGTTATCCAATAGGTAAAGATGCCTAGAACAGGTTGTCAGTGAGGGGGAATTGCTGATTCAAGTTAGAATAAAGGATAGTATTATCGATGGCTAAGATGAAACCATATTGAGACTAGCATTATTAAGTGGTGGATCCAGAAATATTTTTGAAGGTGGGCACATAAAATTCTAAAATTCTAGTGTGTTGATAATCAGTAAAATGAATAACAGACGGCAGGAAATTTAGATTTCAGATGGGATGCAATCAATAAAATAAATAACAAAAGTATGAAATTTAGATTTTAGAATAGGCAGTTGTCCACCTAAACCGAACGTGCATTCGCGAGTGATACTGTCTTGCTGCGGCTGCCAATGGTTCAATGTTTGAATTGTGGTTGACTGCTATATTTAGTTCTCTCTCCTTATGGATAGGAAAATTGTTGTTTGCATTAAAACCTTGAATCCGATGAGCCTTGTTTGCTAGATCACATGGTTATTCTTGATATTTGTATGAAAGTCCTTCTTCCCAACCCAATCTTCCATATAACCGCATTCCCATTTTTATATACTTGTTTTTTATCATTATGAATAGTATCGTTGCACAGCATTGAGTTACAGAGAAAGTGATTTGAATGAATGCATATAGGTGAAAACTTTCGACCATCATGGCTCGATCGTGGTATGGCTTTCTTTGCTCAATGCTAACTGATTACTGATCTTTGTAATAGACTGATGGTACTTTTTTTTTGTGTCACAGTCTAAGTTAGGTCTGCTATGAGGTTTTCTTCGATAAAGTCTAGGATCAAACTTTAACTTTTGATAGTTGCAGAAAAGTGTAGTTGAGTGTAGGACCAAAGGCCACCACCCTCATCAATAACCTTGTTTAAGCGATCGTGTTGCCAGGTGAATCAATTTCCTTTGGTGTCAATGCTTGAAAAGGATGGACTGCCAGCTTATGTTAATCTTTTGATTGACAACTTTAAATAAAGCTGTGGGGATGTGATGCATGATCCATTATTTTAATGGAGTGTCATAGGTGCTTTCAATGTGCAAAAGTAGATGCAGGGAGTTTTGCTAGATGCTTTTAAACAGCACCCTTCAATTTTTTTTCCTGGAAATGAATCTAAATTTGCTGTTCATAAAGAGATGGATCTGATAATCTTGGTGTTGGAATTGCCACAAGTGGATTCTCCAACTTCAAGACGATCCCAAACTTCTCAGAAAGATCTAATTTCTTACCCTCAGGCACTTTCCAGTCAAAAGAATGCAACAGTGTGGCAACCGAGTACAACACCATCCTCTCAGCCATTGCAATTCCAGCACAGATTCTCCTACCAGATCCGAAAGGAAAATAACTAAAATCACTTCCACTAAAATCCCATTGGCTATTCAGAAACCTGCTAGGGTTGAACTCGAGTGGATTTTCCCAGATCGAAGGGTCCCTGTGAATTGCCCAGGCGTTGACGAACACCCTTGAACCCTTCGGGATACCGTAGCTGCCAACAGTGCAGGGTTCACTGGGGCAATGAGGGACTAGGAGAGGTAGAATTGGGTGCAAACGCAACGACTCTTTCATTATTGCGAGTAGATATGGCAATTTCTGAATGTGGGATTCTTCCACCAAGTTATCTTTCCCGACTACTTCAACCAGCTCTTGCTGTGCTTTTCTCATCACCTCTGGTTTGTTGATGATTTCAGCCATCGTAAACTCAATTGAGTTGGACGATGTGTCTGTTCCTCCCACCACCATATCCTGTCCAACATTAATTGCATGTTCAAGGATCCATTTAAACTTTGTTTCTATGAATTTAGCTATTTGTATGGTTTAAGGATAAGTTTTGTTCTCTTAATCAGTGAAAATCAACAATTATAACCCACAACAGAGGAAAAAAATACTTATATAGAATATTTTAAAGTCTAGAGACCAAATCAGAATAAGATCTCTTGTGCAATTATATCTACTAAAAATAATAGGATGACTTTTACAATTAATACATCAACTATTACTTTTGTTTCGTTTTGGCCATCTAAATATTTTTTTCAAAATTATATCTAATATTATTTTTTAGTCATTTTGGTCATACACTAATAAAAAATTAGTAGAATCCCTTATGTGATATTTTTTTCTTTTATTTTTTAAATAAAAATATAACATTATCTTATGGTGATACATCAATATCACCATTAATTTTTGAACGTCTAGGGACAACTGAAATGAAATTAAAATGTAACGTTAAAATAATAATTGGATAACTAAAACGAAATAAAAGTAATAGTTGAAGTAGTAAATGTGTGGTTTATCCAAAATAATATTACCACAAAAAAGGATTATAGAACTCACCAAAAGCAAGGCTTTGATATGGTTCATAGTCAAGGGGGTCTTGGAATCTTCCTCGTCCTTCAACTGTAGTAGGAACTGTACAAAGTCCTCGAATTCCACTGCTGAACCGCTCCCATTCTCCCTCTCCTTCTTCAACCTTTGATCGATTATATTTTCAATGATTGCGTTCAACTTATCCATCGGCTCTTTCATACGTTTCACCGCACCTTGCAAATCAAGCGGAGCCAGCACCGGGAAGAAATCCGAAATATCGGGCATACCCAAAAGCTCTGTTGTTTCCGAGATGACCTGCCTGAACTCTGCACCAAGGCTCGCCCTCGCCTCCCCCTCGACGGAGCCTCCCCACAACATATTCGTCACCACATTCAATATCGTTAAAAAAAACTTGCTCTCCTACGTTTACCGGCGAACCGGCCTTACTGTATAAATAACCCACGGTTTGTACTACCTCTCTCCGTCGAAGCTCATATGCTTTGTCCAAAGTAGCGCTGCTAAGCATCTTGATAACGCATACTTTCCTTAACATCCTCCATTCAGGACCATAGGGGTTCCAGACTATATCCCGGCCGCCGGTTATAACCTTGGCGGTATTAGGCACATCACGGTTGGCGAAGACGATGTCTTGGTCTCTAAGCACTTCACGGGCCGCCGATGGGGAGGTCACCAGAATCCCGATCTTGCTACCAAGCTGAAGTTTGACAACCGGGCCGTAGGTGGAAGCTAGTTCAGCGAAGTAGGAGTGGAGGTCATGGCGGAGGAAGGGAAGGTTTCCAACCAAGGGGAGGCCTCGAGGGCCTGGTGGCGGTGGCGGTTTACCCTTGGATTTGAGGTACGTCCATCTAAACCAAAAGATGGCGAAAACACCAACAAGGATGTAAAAGAGAGCCATGGAAGAGGGAGAATGAGTTAGCAATGTAAATCGGGTGGCATGTTTGTGTTATATACCAAGTGAAATGTTGAAGGATGATTGACTCGGTTCTACTGTAGACAAAACTGGTGTGTTGGTGCTTGGTGGAAAATGACAAAAAGGGATCATTAGCTATTAAGAAAATCTGAAAATGACGTTATTAACTAAAATAAATTTAATTTTGTTATACTCTTTTGGTCCCTGCAATTCAAGAGAATGACACGAATTTGTCATTTTATGCAAGGAAATGAGCCGTGGAATATGCTGTTAACTAGTTTTTTTTTTAAGTTAACGGCATCATAAGTCTCTAATCTATGATTTTTATATAAATGGGACCCTAAATTTTTAAATATCTTAATTTTATTCTTAAACTATGATTGTCATTATAAATTAGTCTTCAAATTTTTGAACATCTCATTTTCATTCCCAAGCTGCGATCTTCATTCTAAATTGGTCCCCAAATTTTTAAAATATTTCAATTTTATCCTAAATTACTTGTATATACTAATCACATCTCTTGTTAATAAAATCATTATGCAAGTTATATTATTATATGTTTGAAAAAATAGTATTTAGGTTAAACTATGGTTGAAATGGATTACATATTTTGATGAATTTGGGGATGAAATTGGAAGTTCTAAAAGTTTAGAGACCAATTTAAAATGAGATTCATAGTTTGGGGATGAAATTCGAATATTCAAAAGTTTAATGACTAATTTAGAATGGGAGTCATAGTTTGAGGATGCAATTGGAATGTTTAAAAATTTAAGAACTAATATGAAATTAGAGTCCTAATTTGAAGACATATGATGCGATTTTTTTTTTCATACAAGGATTGGCCAACTATCCTTATGTTAATTAGTTTTTTTCCCATAAAGGTTTAGGTTGTAGTTTTTTATTTTTATTTTTGAATTGTAAGAGAAAGCAAGAGGGCAGTAAACCATAAGATCAACCAACAGCGTTTACAGCCATGGACAGACCATCTTCCATAGTGAGCAAACCAGCAAAGGTGGGGGTGAGGCTCGCATATATCTGGAGGCCAGCAGGTGAATTCCAAGCCAATTTGGCCATACAGCTATTTTGTAAGGTTAGACGTGGAGCTTATTTAATTATATAATTAACTATTGATATGATATTTTTATCATTATGATAAGATGCTTTGTTTTTTTATCAATGTCAATTTATTAGCTGATTTTGCTTTGCTAGCTGCCTAACTCTGCCGGCACAGTATACTATTTTGAAACCCTATCCTTCTTCTTTTTCACTTCCCATCGCAATTTTTTTTTATAGGCGATAGTATTAATTCTGATGTTAATCATCGACTATATATAATCATCTTTATTGTTATTCCTTTTATATTTCGTTGTGATTTATTATTTGATTTTTATTTTTAAGAATTCCTCTCTTTTCATTCCCAAGCTGCGATCTTCATTCTAAA